ACCAAGCTTACTTGTTTTTCAAAAAAAACAAGATAAACAACTTAGCTTGTAGTTGTTTTTTGCCAGTGACTTCTTAACATAACTGGTGACAACATTTTGAATTTATAAAAGATTTATTCAAAAAGTTAAATTTTGAATTTATACACGATTTATTCAATAAGTCAAATTCAGAATTCATAGAAGATCTATTTAATAAGTTAGAGCATATTTATAAAACAAATAAAAACATAAGCGTAAAAATATATCAAATATTATAAAGTCTTGAAAAAAAGCAAGTTTTTTATTTGATTTCTTGTAAACTGAATAAGCCAAAGTTTTGTTGTGCTTTGAGTAATTATTGATTAAAAAGTTAGATTGAGCAAAGTTTCTTGCTTTATTCATATACCTTAGAAGTTATTATTGGTTTTGTTTTGTTTTGTTTTTACTTCAGATTCTACGAAAAGTGAAGAATTATTCAGAAGAAGTCGTAAAACAAATTGAAAGTTGTTGGAAACCCGAAAGTGATGAGCGAGCAGAATGGAATTTTGTTACTTCAACTCTCTACGGATTTGGCATAGTTACAACGCTTGGTAGCTTTTACTTATTTCCAAAATTTTTCAACAAATAGCCGTAAATCAAAAATGTAATGGAAAAATAAAAATTTCTACTCATTTTGATATTTTACAATTCTTATTTTAAATTTGATTTGATCATGGAAACAATCAACTACTTAAAAATTGAATTCAGCTTGACTTTTATCGTAATTCTTATTATTTTCAATACTAATAAATACAATTTTTCTTCATAAAAATATTTTAATAATTGAAAAAATTAAGTTTTATTTTTTGCAATAAGTAAATTGCATTTTATGAAAAAAAATTTGCAAAAATTAAAAATAAAAAATTTTCTTTTATTATTTTGGTTATGCTTAAAATAAAGCTGAAGAGAAAAAAGTTGTGGGATTTAAGGAAGAGATTCTTCTTTATCCCTTCTTAGTGGTACTTAATCACAAATAATCTTGCCCTTGGTCATGATTATCCTGCAGCTTTAATTTTCAGTAAATCATTTCAGTATTTTGTTACAATTGATTTTTGGTACTTAATTTAAAAGTTTAAAAATTTATTAGTTAAAGTAAGACAAAAAATTAGGATGAATGAGAAATTGAACAACATTAATTTTTTTTCTAATAAAACTTTCCACAAATTACTGTAAATAATTTTTGCATTCTTAAATATTCACTGAAGCGTTATAAGCAAATAAATATGAATGGCTTTAGGTTATAATCGAATTGCACCAATTACTTTGGCAGGTCGTATATTTTGCATTTTATACGGATTATGTGGCATACCCGTCACTATGATTACTATAGCAAATGTTGGACGTTATATGAATACTTTTGCTAAAAGTTGTAAGCAAAAAGTCAGTTACTTAAGTCTTAATTAAGTTCACTATTTTGCATTAGAATATAGAAATTTGTTATTTATATGCATATGAATCAAAGAAGCAAATAAAAAATGCATGTCAAAGTTCTAGCAAGTTTCCATCCTAACTTAAGTTTTGGATCTTACATATATGATTTACAGTTCATTTATTGTAGTAGGTTTATTACTCCAGAATTTTTATTGTATTTTTTAATTTTAATTTCAGACGAATAAAGTTTGCTTCAAAAAAATAATTAAAATAAGGTTTTTTCAAAATGTGCAAATTTATTTGTTGACGGCAGACTTCATTTCACTTTATTTTTTAGCATAAATTAGCATTTTTATAAAAAAATAAAAGAAAATTAAAGATTTAATTAATAGTAAGTAAGATTAATTCTTAATGAAATCTTTTAAAGATAGAAAAATTTCGAGTGCATTATTGGAACAGAAAAACGAAATTGAAAAATAAAACACATCAAGACGATAACGGAAATAATAATAATGATGATAATGATGATAAAAACGAAGAATCATCAACTGGTTTTGCTTCACTTGTATTAGTCGCTGCTTTTCTAGTATATGTAGCATTTGGTGCTTTACTTCTGCCACTTTTAAATGGAGAGGTACTAATATATTTTGTACCAATTTTTGTTCAAAAAATTCTTCCTCAAATATTTTTTTCAAATCTTACCATTTACTGAGCTCATTTTTACAAAAATTTAAAAATATTTTTTAGTATTCTTTTTATTATTTGTCTTTTGTACAATAAAGTTGATAGATTTGTCTTTCAAATAAAAACTTGTAATTTTTGAGACTGATTTTATCAATGGTTTGTATTATAACTTCCTATGCTTAACAGCGATTGATTTTGGTCAGCTTGTACCTCAAAGGTAAGAATTATGCAAATTTTCAAATTTAATTATATGCTATAAATTATTTCTCCACTTAAACGTAAAACTTGAATAGCTTTTAAAAAGTCTATTGAAGACTTTTATATAAATTAGACTAGCAATGCAAAATTGTAGATATTGTTTAATGATTGACAAAAAAATTTTGGAAAATAATTTAAATTTAAACTGATATCTTGATTAAATCACAGTTATGCTAGAGCTTAACTTAATGCTACTGAACATTTTGAAATTTGATAAATTTTTTAAATTTACAAAAATTTTCAGAGTTGCGTTTCTACCAATAACATTCATGTATGTTTGCATTGGACTTGCAATTACAACAATTGCAATTGGTTTGTTTGGATCTTTTTTATGCCCAAAATTATTTGGATTAACCGCTTTTCTTATTATACTTGCGAGTATCAAACAGAAACTTCGAATTATTTCTATCAAGTTACGCCATCTGTTTAAATTATTAAAAATTCACACAAAAAATTCAACAAAAAAAAATCAGCAATGAATCGTTTTACTTCTTTTACGTAGAACACTGAATAATTTAAAATTTTATATTTGCATTCGCTAATTCAAATTAGCATAACTGTAATAAATTACTAAAAAACTTTAGCATATTTGAAAAAACTTCTTAAATATGCTAACTTTTTAAACTTATAAATAAAGCATTCTATTCTGATTACTCTGATTACAAATGGAGCTTTTTTGTCTAGAACAGTTATAGTCGTAATTTTGCATGAAATAAAAATAATCAAGATTTTTGATTATTAAAACAATATTGTGAATTTACATGTTTTTGCTCATCATTTGCATATGTTGAATTAAGATGTCGGCTCGGAATACGTTAGAAAGTTACATTATGTTGGTCAGAAGATGAAAAATGTTGCTTCAACAAGAATTTGGTTTGGGGGTAAAACGTTCGTTTTGCCCATTTAATTATTTTTTACTTTTTGTTTTTGAAATTCAGACTAAAATACATACAGAGTTACATTATCGTTATGATATACTTGTAAGAGCTATTAAATTAAGCATTTTTTTTTGAAAAACTTGTACTGTATATTAAACTGTTCAGTGACATTAATTCTGGTTTGTGTACATAATGCCTGATAAGTAACTATTTAATTATAAATTGACAAATATAACTTTTTATTCAATTTTTCATAATAACAACAATGATAATAGTTATAAAATGATAATAATAATAATATTTTTACGTTGTAATTGCATTTTGCGCCAAAATATAGCACTTAAATTGATAATAATGTTAGTAAACTTTAATAATTATACACATTTAACTTTTTTGCAGATTGAAAGTACTCGATTTACTACATGAAGTTGGTAATAAATGTGGCGTTGAAGCATCAGTTATTGATAAAATGGATTTGGACAATGTAATCGAACAGGCCATTGCACGAAATGTTAGTCAATTTTTTTCCGTGTCTTTTCTTTATACATAATTAATCTATTTTCATATACGTAATTAGTAAATTTATGTGTATAATTAATTACTTAATTAGTAAATAAATTTATCACAAAAGCAGTTCTTTAAAGATGAATTATGTTTCTTTTAATGATAAGATCGATATTACAGCATTTTTTTTTAGAAATAAATTAGGCTTAGTTAAAAATATCGCTCATTTATGAATTAAATATTTTTTATTACAATCAAAGAACTTAATAAATTAATAAAATTGTTGTTATATACTTGAAATAAAATTGAATAATCAAATTTGAAATGAATTTTACAGGAAGGCAGACAACAGCTGCCATTAAAGCATGAAGATATCATATCAACAAACGAACCAATATCCGAATTACTATCCCCAGAACAGCAGTCAATCGCAGCACATCCTATCGAAATGTATCCACTTCTCTCCAGATCCAAAATACGCTCTCGCTCCAATGCACAGAGCAATAATTTGGCAAGCTTAATGCTGTAGACTTGATTATTGCAAAGGGAACTTATTAACTAATAATTAATTAATTAATTACCCAATTAATTAATTAATTAATTAATTAGTGCTAAAATGACTTTAATTCATCATTCATTATCATGACATAGCAATACATCAAACACTATAATGTATTTTCTTTTAGTACTTAATCTTTCCGTCTAATCACAGCTCAATTTTCACTATAATCTTCTCTTCTATTTGCAAAAAAGTTTACAAATTTATTAAAGACAAATAAATTAAATGCGATGAAATGTTAACTTTATGAAGAGAAGAAAAATTAATAAAGCAAACTTTTTTAATTAGTAAAATTATTTTTGTAGTTAGTACTACAGAAATATGAATTAAAGTGAAGTTGAAACTAAATGAATCTGAAGCAATTTTAGATTTAAAAAGAAAAACAAACTATTAGAATATAGAATAATTTTGTTTAATTATCACTCAAATTAAAATCGAACTGCATTAAAAATTGTCACTGTAATTATAAAATTTAGAAGAGTTGTTTTTGAATTATAAAATATAAACTGAAATTTAAATCCTTCCGTTTTTGCATCTTAAAATAAGATAAATAATTATAGTAAGATTTTAGGAGGTATTTAAAATGAGAATTAAAGATTTGCATAGCTTCATCTTCACATTTCATACTCTTTGCTACATTTAACTAGCTAGTTTTAGCTAATTAAATGAATTATAGAATTG